ATTCGCTTACATTTTGCTTCACTCGTGAAGCGCATTTCGTATTTTATTTTATTGCATTTGCATTCGACAACGTCTCTCGCTCTCTCCCTCACTCACTAACTCTCTTTTGCTCTGCACTGCTTATCGTGCTTGCTGAGCTGAAACGTCGCTACGACAAAATTCCGTCTTCCTTTCTCGTTCTTCACGTGTCTTCTTCTTTCATCCGTCGCATGTGTTTTGCATTTTCTGCGGCTACATTACCCATGCGTTCATCTCTCTATGTGTATGCCTGTGTGTGTGTATGTGTGTGTGTATGGCTGAGTATTTGCCAATGGCAATGTGCGCCTCTATACGTGCGCGTGTGTATGTGTTTATGTTTGTATGTGTTCACATTAACACATTATTGTTGTTGTTGATGTTTCACACAAACCCACACACACGCTAAAAACTTAACGAAGCGAAAGCTTTTTTTGCTTGTTGCATTTTATGCCAATTTTTTTCTTGCGTTTCTTCTACTCTGTAGCTATAAATGGATATGTGCGCATATATTGAGGACAGAAGATGGCATGTTCGACAATGTTAAATACTTTATTTAAAGAGGAGTGTTTATATGCGATATGAGTAGCATGTTTTTTCCTTATAAAGAAATGATTTTAATTTTTAATATAGCTTTTTAATATAAGCTATTAAATCAATAAATTTAGATAAAAAATATTTCATTATTAATACTTTTTATATACAACATAATATAATCTACAAAAATATTTACAGTTTTTGATATGTCTGTATTTGCCTTAATAAACTTTTAGTACAGGGTATTTTCCAATCGATCTCTCACAATTGAAAAGCTCTCCAGCATTTTTTTTCTTGTCTCGCTCGCTCTCGTTTTGCACTTAATTCAGAACGCGCTTTTGTCTTTTGTTTTTGCATTGCATTTGTAATTGTAAATTTTGTGCAAAATGAAAAAGGGAAAAGAATAAGGAAACAAAATATGCAACTGCTTGTTTAGCAGCTAATATTTGTTGAATTCGGCAGCGTCTGTGGCCACAAACTGTTATCTAAGCCATGCATGCCGCATGCCGCATGCCGCATGCCAGCAGCAACAGCAGCAGTTGGCAGGAGACTCGCTACAGAAATGGAAATGCGCAAACGAATCCAGACAACTTTGTTGTGTCTTCTGTTGCTTGTAATTTCTTTTTGCTGCTTGCCGCTTGTTTGGCTTGTGGCTGTTGCATATGCCACAATCTGTCAGCCAACCGCCCTCCGCCAGCCCCCCCGGCCACCTGCTGTCACAACGTTTGTTATTTTGTTGCTTTTATGTGGCCGGTGCCACTTTAAACTCTCTGTCTCGTTGCACTTTGATTGTCTGCCCCGCTCGCCGGTGTCAAACACAAGAGCTGCCGCAACTACAACTAGGGGAGCCAGCATAGAGCAACCACCTGGCCAAGCCGGACCGGGCACAGGTAGCCAAGTTGTCATTGCGTGTCCAGCTGCGAACTGTCCGACATGTTGTTGCACAGCTTTACGTTGCGCCCCAAGCTTTGGCCCAGCCCGCCACAGCCTGGCCAGACCTTGCAGACCAAAAGATAAATGCAACAATCATACGGCATAAATGAGTTTAATATGTATACAGTATATTTATTGTGTAATATGATAAGAGCAAGAGAATATCCGTGTTGAGCAGTACATACATAATGAATTAAAAAATTGCATGTTGTTGCCTTTAACATCTTAAGGAAAAGAGGGCCCCAATTTGGACATTATCTTAACCATTCCAGAAAATATACATAATTTCATCAACCTTAAATTAGCATAAATTTAAAATGAAGCGTTTCGAGTTACTAAATTTTATTAAATTTAGTTCACCTGAATTTATATGAATATAATGAAAATTCGTAGCGAGAAAGTGAATAATTAATAATGAATATTTTCAATTTGCATTATGAAACAACAGCAACAGCATCACGGACAAATTATTTCAGCTTAAATTAGCAATAAAACACAAATGTTGCATAATTTTTCGGCGGCGCACAGTTGACCCTTTGCGCGTTTTTCAGCACTGCACTCAATAATCAAAAGCATAATCAATAAACAATTTACATAAACATTAAATAACATTCAAAGTTTTGAACGCGATGCGCTCGAATATTAGATATTAGATGGTTCAATGGACACATTTGTGATAATAAATTTATTTCATGTGTGCGCTCTAAAAACAATGCGATAAAAATGCGAGGCGCTGTGCAACACTGCTGGCGGGTGAAAATGCAGGAAAAAACAGTGCAGAAACGGTGTTGCCGACTGCATAATACTTGTTTAAAAACTATTTAAGGCTATTCAAAAATTTATATTTTATTTTATTTTTTTTTGTAATTTATAGAAAGGATGATACGAGGTAGATATGCAAAAAGAATTTATTTTATTTAACATTTTAAAGCCGTCTATAGACGACCTCAATAGGACTTGTACTCTAATAAAAATAATATAGCCTAAGGACTGCTAGTAGAATAGAGTATTTCAATTCCAAAACCGGCATATACTATGTAGCATCTATGTATGAGCAGGATTCATATAAATATATCATGTTCTAAGTCCCTAACTTTAATAACACCGTAAATAAAACAGTTGGCATATCCAAAAGTAGAGTAATTCCCAAAGTGAGGATGAGCTGTATGAGGCAAAGCTTTACAGCCACACATAATTCAGATCAAATCTCCAACTTCAACTGGATAAACGAAAAGAGTAAGAGCTGTCCATGCCAACAGCCAATATACTCCGTTGCTCTTTATGGGCAAGCATCTCAACGTAGAGGGATAAACGTTAAAGCGTTTACACGCTAAAATATACATTTTGAAAAGCAAGCATAATATTATTTTTTAGTGCAAGGTGTTAACTGTGTCTCTGTCTCCCTATGTGTGTGTGTGTGTGTGTGTGTGGGCAGAGCGCAGCGGGCGATCCTTGTTGTCGCTGTCGTTGTCCTTGTCGCTGCTGTCGGTTCTCGCCAGCGTTTGCTTAATGTCTTCTTTATTATATGAAATTTATCACCGAAACTGGAAATTGGCCTGCTTGGATGGCTGGCTGACTGGCTGGTCCTTGCTAAGCAAGGACTAAGGCAGCGCCAACCGGAAAGCTTGCACTTTTTCTGCTCCTTGCTTTTTTTTCTCTCTGCAGCGAATGTCGCTACATAAAGTAACTCCCACACAGACACACACACACACACACACACATAATCACACAGATACAGACACACTGACGTTGCAGTAAAAACATGGCTTATATCCTTTATGGTGACAAAGGCAAACACAGAAGCAAACACATACGTAGACACGCACACACACGCACACACACACACACTGTATCCACACACTTTTTTACACTCCTTTAAGATTAGCAGCTCACACACACACACACACACATGCACTTGCACACACATGCACATATGAAATTAATGTGTGGGTTTTGTGCTAATGAACGAAGCGCATATGTATGTGTCTGTGTCGGTGTGTGTGTCTGTGTGTGTGTGTGTTTGCTGCGCTGTTTTTGAATTATAGCATAATTTTTACCACAAAAACGGTTGGAAACACTTTTTTTTCATGTTTGCCCGTAAATTGTCCAAGCAAATTTATTCGCTGTTCTCTCTATGCCTGTGCATAAGGACGAGCCGTCTGCAAAAAACAAAACTATGCAAATATTTACAAATTTCTTTTTTTTTTTTGTTTTTAGATTTTCAAGCAAGCGATTTTTTATAACAAAATGTTTTAATTAAAGGCGCTAAGCTCTTAATGGAGCGGGGATCAAAGCGTTAAACAATAACAATAAACAACAATAAAACAATTTCTTCTCTTTTTTTTTTTTTTTTGTTGAGATCAAGCAAAAACCTTATATGCAAAGGTTTTTTATCAATTTGGATCTATAGTCCCCATCTGCATAAAAACTATGCAAAATGCGGCCGTCGATTTTTAGAAATTTTAGGATAAAATGCAAACCGTTTATATAGTAATAATATAATATTTATGATAATATTTCAAAATATATATAAATATGGGTAAAAATAAATAAAGCATTCATAAATAACTGACTAATCTTTCAATGCTTCACACCAAATTGTTACTCAGTTATCAGATGAGCCAAGGAGAACTACGCGAATTAAATGGGGGCTCAAAAACTGGAGCTGCCACATCCTCCCCACTGCTGTCCTTCATTTCAGCTGTTTTTCGTAATGAATGAACGCCGAGAAAAAGCCAAACGTTTTTCAAGTGGGATTTGACGTTTTGCCTAACTTTTAGCTTTGCTGTCGTTAGTTTTGGGTCAGAGGTCAGATGCTGCTGCTGCTGTTGCAGTTTGGCTGGCAAAAAGCAACGCATTTATTTTAATTTTTCCATGCCAATTGCCAACTTGCTGCGAAAGGTTACAAAAGTGTCAACAATTTATCCGACCCTTAAAAATGTTGCTCTAAAATTACACTTTTAATATATAAAACACTTTTTAATAATAGGAAATGTGTAAAAACTGTTTACAAACGTAAAGCTATTTTTTAAATACATTTTTGCGCGCGCCAAAGCGCATGTTCTTCTTGCTTACTGTCAAAAGTTCGTTGCTACGCAATCAAATGAAACCAAAAGCTCGCAAAGCGCTGTACAGGGTACACCAACGAAGCACAACAGATTTCGAAACCAATGCTTTTGTATCTTTTAAATTTTTTGTAATAAAGTAATAATTGATTTCGCATTCATTAAAATACCAAAACAAAATTGTTTTATTATACTGTATATATAGTAATTTCCCTTAAAAGGCCTGGAAGCATACATGGAAGCGTGGAAGATAATAAAGTATTTAAATTGGTTATGGTGTTATTCAATGCGATTCATTCAAAACATTTTCATTCAATGTATGATTTCTGCATTAAAAATAATGATAAGATAAAATACTCAATGCATTATTCGCTCATCGATATGTTTAATGCGTATATCGATATTTTTGCACACTTCCAGCACAAGGTAATCTGTGTACATGCTTTCAAATAACGGCTCTTCACATCTGCCCTGCTCAATTAGAAAATATTTTGATAAAATGGAACTGCGCAGCAAATTTAACAAATTAAAGGATATTCTGACCGGCGCAGGCGTCTACGAAGATGGCATGGAAATTGAAGAAATGCGACAAGTGGCAGCAGCTATGGAGATGTCCGTCTCGTCGTACACTGGTGTCGAGTACTCGAACCTCGAGCGCGCTCTTCTGGTATGTGGTGAAACGAACAACAAATGAAAAAGAGTTTATTAAGTTTGAGTCGTTTGCGCAGGAGAGCGAAATTGATTTCCAAATGTTGGTGAACTCCACCATGATCGTGGAGCCGGCCATGCCAGCGCCCTCCATCGATGTGTTCCTCGAGACGGGCAGCTTTGAGCGCGAGTGCGACAGTCCCCCGTGCGACCCCATACACATGCAGGTGCAGGCTATTGTGCACCACGAGCTCAACTGGAGTCCGAATCAATTGCGTCCCCACAAAAGAGAGACCAACGAGCCGGACTGTGGCCTCTACGCCAAGCGCGTATGCCAGACTATGGAACCAGAAGCGGAGTCGGCTTTATCGGATGTCACGCCCATATCGATGACCAGCGGCGACTCGGGCGTTAGCTGCGATGAAGTGGGCACGCTGTCCACCTTCAGTGAGAGCTCCACATTGCCGTCAATTGGCGAGATGCCAAGTCGCCTGCTAATCAGCACCAGCAGCGCCGTCGTGTCCGACCTATCCAGCCAGCCCGTTGTAAGCCCCTAATCTGTGAAGAAACTGCAATGGCCAAATGTTTGCCAAATGGTGCCAAAGGCAGTGCCTTAATTCTACAATGAATGTGATTATTCTCATATCGATTTTCTTTTCTCAAAATATAAACCATTCCATTTATTATATGTGGTCTTTATTCACACAAAGTACAGATCTTTATCAGCTGGAATGCTTTCCTACGGCATCTTATTCTTGGCTAGGGCCTCGCCAACGAGGCGATCGATGTGCCCGCGCAGGTACAGAAAAGGGGCTTTTTTGATCCGATGGCTGACCAGGGTGGCAGAGATGCTGGTGAAGTACTCGGTCACCTCGACGGGACGGGCTAGGGGCGCATCTGAATTCTTCACTGGAGACTTAGTCCGGCCTTTCGAATGCCTCGGCCGCTTGGCCACGCGTGCGCCAATTGAGTTGGGCGAGGTAGGCATGCTGTAGACCTTACGTTTCCGCTGACGTGGACGAGCAACTGCTTTCTTCGGTGGTGCCGAGCTCTTGGCAGGATTGGAACGGGTGGCTGAACGTAGAGAGCGACGACGATAGGCTGGCGATAGATCCAAAACCTTATTTTCCATATTTGGAATGAGGACGGAAGGAGCCGTCAGCTGCTCGCAGTCTTCGTTCACGGGCTCCGTTTCCACATCTGGCGATGAACGTGTTGCATTGCAGCTCTCCTCTTCTGGAGAACTAGGCACAGTGAATGTTAACATCTCCGGTATATTATTGCTATCTTCAGCCTCTGTAGTTGCCTCATCAGTTGTCAGCTCTACTTCAAGCTCAGCAGTTTCTGTTTCTGTTTCCATTTCTGAGGCAACTATGGAGCCGGAGATAGCTGAAGTACTCCTGCTACAATCGTGCTTGTGTAGTCTATAATTTGTAATCATTGGTTAAATCAAAGATGATATAGAAAAGTCAAACTTACGGAGTGCGCACTATATAAGAGATATTGTTAGACCAATCCTCCTCCTCTTCGTCCTTCTTGGTAGAGCTATTTGCGCCCTCATCGCTAAATGTAGGAAATAGTCTTTAAATCAAATTTACAGTTTACCTAAATACTCACTCAGAATCACTACTGTCGTCATCCGAAGATTCAGAGCGTTCTGAAGAAGACGATTCGCTCTCTTCGCCATAAGCCATAGAGCTCGAAGTTTCCGTTACGATCTGAGGGGTTATTCTACCCGCAACCGATATTTGTGCTTGGTCATTCACATCACTCATCTCGTCGTCGTCTCCAACAATATGCGGCACCTTAGGCTTCAACGGCCTACAATTTTATTAATACTTGTTCTTATTTGCTCAACTATAAATTATTTTTTATTTCTACTCACATGACTTTTAAATACAGTAAAACTGTCAAAAAAAAAAATATGACAAGACGTTATTTTTCACCAAGGATTTCACTCGGGTTCCTCAGTAAAATAGGTAAAAAGTGCTGAGAAACGTAGTTTTTTGCGTTTGGTAGCGTTTATAAGGCGTTCAAAGTCGTACGCTTTAGCTGAGATCGCGATATTTTGTGAAATGTCGATGGAGGCCTTTTGTTCTAATTTTTTTTTCAGCTCTTCAAACTTAAATTCAACTCTGTCGATCTTCTTCTTCCTCTGCTATTACCATCATTGCACAAACGACAACTATCGAAAGCCTCAGCCATCGATATGGTTAACTAAGATGTGCATCTATCGATAGTTTACCAAACTCAATGAAGTTACAAAATAAATATGCAAAATTTTATTTTTTAATAATAAACAACACATTAACAGACCAATAATTAAGAAATATATAAAATATATACGATATATCATATATGTATATGAAACAGTAAGACTAACCGTCGCAGTAATCGCATGTTTCGCCCACTTCTTCGCAATTGCAATAGGCCGGCTCCGGTGCCATATCGGATGCGAGATCATCCTCGCTGACAGTAACGCAACGCACATTCCTAGGGTATTTGACCATGACCAGGGGACGGCCATCCTCATCGGTGAGGCCTACATTATCGCAGCCATCGCCCACATTTTGGCGGTGTAGAGTGTACTTGGTGAAGCAACATAAAAATATCTAAAAAAAATATATATATATTAAATTGATATACATATATTATATCTATATATGTATATATTTTGGATTTTTGCTCACCAGAAACTTAAGGGCCGACAGCGATAGCCCGAGCAGTATGTAGAAATAACGCATCAATCCCTGCGAGAACAGAGCGAGGCACCCATTCGTGTTGATGGATTCGAGGGTCAACGTGGGCACTGGCGTCCGTCGGTGCTGTCCGTAATCTTCGTGGTTGATTAGCTTCGCCTCACAATCGCGCTTGGTGCAAGCGATGGGCGCGAGCACAACTCGATTGCGGCACGAGCTGTTGACCAGCTGACGGGGCATCCATTCGGCCCCCATCCAGTCCTTGTAGCTGTTGACGCCGCAGCATTGCCTGCGCAACTGCAGTCCGTCCCAAAGGAGTTTCCACTCCGGCGAAGTGTAATACTCGTCGATGCCGCGCAGCAGCGAGCTCTCCGCCGCGTTTTCCAGTACATCAATGTTGTAGTAAATGTTCCACACGGTACCAAAGCCCGAGGCGATCAGCACACAAGAGTAGAACAGCCAAACGGAGATCATCAGACGAACGTTGGGCGTGCACCGCCTCTTCCACAGGCGATTCCACAGTGAGTGGCTGCAGAGGAACGTCACGGCCACCTGTGCTCCAAAGATATAGATGTTGAGTAGAAAGCTGAATAACATGCGCTGATCCAGATCGTCCAAGAAGCTGGACAGGTTTAGTTGGTAGATGCCAGTAGCGATGATAATCAGCAGTCCGGTTAGAGCCTCGAGTATTAACAGAAGCGCTACATATATAGATGCTCTACGAAAAGGTTGGCGCATTTGGTCATCTTTATCAGATGCTGTTTGGTGTTTTGGTTTTTAGCATTTTTCAAATGCGTACGGGCCAGAAATTTATACTCGGCTTTTCATTTGATATGGCATTTATCACACAGGTAAACACTGACCCCAGTCATTTATTATAAATAGAAACAATTCGAAACTTGTCAACTGTAATACTCAAAATGGCTACGTATTTTAACAGTCTGCAAGTCTCCCAGCGGTGACTCGTGCTAAAAAAAACAAGTGAGAAAGCTCTAGTCGAGACTGCTCGACTACGAGATCCCCTGAACCC